TTTTTCTTTTAAAGATGACTGGTAAGGGGATCTTTTTTTTTTTTTTTTCCTTTTTGTCTTTTTTCGTGACCGGCAGCGGGATCGCAACCCTCAGTGTCACGCCCGCACCGCGCTCAACCAGTGAGCGGACCGGTGTCTATATGGGATCCGAACCCTCGGTGGGAGCGCCACCGTGCTCCCAAGTGCTGCACTCTACTGAGTGCGCCACCGGGCCGGCCCGCGTTGTTCCTTTTTCTTCCAACCGTCTTGTTTGCAGCCTTGGGTGGGGGAAGGTGAGACTCGCTTCAACTTCCTGTCACACACACACTTAAAACTTCCTGAAACCCCCACAGCAACCGTGTGCAGTGTTTCTGGGACGTACACATGTCATAAAAATATAAATGTGCCCATCAGAATGATAAACCCGGGCTGGCCCGTGGCTCACTTGGGAGAGTGCGGTACTGGTAACACCAAGGCCACGGGTTTGGATCCCATATAGGGATGGCCGGTTTGCTCACTGGGTGAGCGTGGTGCTGACAACACCACTTCAAGGGTTAAGATCCCCTTACCGGTCATCTTTAAAAAAAAAAAAAGGGCCGGCCCGGTGGCGCACTCAGTCCCGTTGCTGGTCGTGGTACGGGCGCAACACTGAGGGTTGCGATCCCGTTACCAGTCACGAAAAAAGACAAAAAGGAAAAAAAAAAGAATGATAAACCCCAAATTCAGAACAGCGATAACTTCCGGGGAGGAGGCGCGAGACGGGCTGGGGATGAACCAAACTGACTCCATTTTCCCTGCAGAGGACACTGTCATTTATCCACTGCTCAGTCATGGGACCCCAGGGCACATGATTACGCTGTGGCCCACTGTGATAAAATAAACTGAGATAAGAAGGGGGCAAATGTTCAGTGACTTGCAAATCCCCTTCCCCAAGGCCTGTTCTTTGTTTAAAACATCCCACCCATTCTTTCTCTCCTTTTGATTGTAAAAACTAAATTACAGGTTAACCTTGACACCCCTTTGGGAGTTGCATGCAGGACACTCCTGGAACTGACCCCTGCACAGCCAGGGAAGACACCAGAGGTCATCGAGACAAGATGCTGACGTCACTTGAGGGAAGACTTGCCCTTAAGAACCCTCGCCACCGTCCCTCGAGAGACAGAGACAGCTTCTGTATTGTTTTCTCCCTTATGCGTAAGTCTGTCTCTTCTTAATAACGCGGTGCTTGCCTTAAATTCTGCTGGATACTTTGTACATTTTGATGACATTGTGACCCAACAACCTAATTCAGTAACGGGCGGGGATTTGATGGTGGGGTCCTTGGGGCTTTGACTTCTTGGGTTGGGGGGTATTTGGCTGTTCACGGTGCTGCTGTGCTTTACCTGTTAATCTTTCACATCTTCCTTTTTTTTTTTTTTTTTTGTGGTTTGCCAGTGCGGGGATCTGAACCCTCAACCTTGGTGTTACAATGCTGCGTTCTAACCACTGAGCAAACCAGCCAGCCCATCCGTCTTTTTTATTTATATATTTACTCCCTTTTAGATCCACTCCATGTCCCTAAATAACTCCTCGAAGTCCTGTTGTTTGCACACATTCTTGTGCAATGGATATTGTTTCCAGTACCCGATTCTTCCCTTCTCGTGCCCACGTTCCCTGATCCGCGGCCTGCCTCGCACGTGGCCTCTTTCCTCCGTTCCACGCAGCGTGTTTCTGTACATTATTTCTTTTTTTTTAAAAGATGACCAGTAAGGGGATCTTAACCCTTGCCTTGGTGTTGTCAGCACCACGCTCAGCAGTGAGCAAACCGGCCATCCCTATGTGGGATCCGAACC